AAAAAAAAAAAAAGAAAAGAAAAAAAAATTGGGCGGCATAATGTGAGCCCAGGCGGCATAATGCGCGCATTAGGCGTGCGCATTGCGCCGCCTTTTAGATGGAAAACGCATTTTCCCGCGCATTCCCGAATTCGACGCATTTTGGCCGCGCGTCGCGCCTAGGCGCTCCTAGACGGCGCATTTGCGCACATTTTAGAACACTGTTTTTGACACTCGAAGAAAGTAAACCCTAGATTTGCTAACTGAGACAAGTATCCTTGGGAGTAAACATGTTGATACTCCAATTGACTGTAATGATAATCTCAGAGGATCATTGATTGGACTAGAAGTTGACACCAATGGTTGGTTGGTAAGTTGATATACTTGTCTCATAAATGGCCAAGTACAGCCTTTGGTGTCAGTGTAGTTAGCAAGTGCATTCACTTAACAGACAGAAGAGTATCTGGATGTTGTAATTAGAATTTTGCAATATCTAAAAGACTCCTAGAGAGGACTTAATCTTCAAGAAATGAAACTCTTTGCAGATTGAGGTTTATAGTGATGGATTGGTGCTCTTAATGATTGTAGATCTACTTATGGGTAATGTACATTTGTTAGAGGTAACCTAGTTAATCGGAGGAGTAAGAAACAATCGATGATAGCTAGAACCGGTGCTGAAACTGAGTGCTTGCTTGGTATTACTTTTAAATGCTTATAAGCATTGAGTCCTACAGATGCGTGGATAATATGCGAGTAGTAAGTAATGGGTTCTGAGTATGGATAAAAAGTATATTTGACCGGCTTAAAAAAAAAAAAAAAAGAGCCAAGATTTGCCAAATTGAGTGGGTTGTAGATGCAAGAGTGTTTTGGTTGATACTATCCTCTCAGTACTTAGACCTTCCTCTATAAATGCTTCATATTTCCTTTATTCTGCAACTCTCTCTCTCGGCAAAGATTTTTTAGTGTGCAATCATGCTTCGAATGCTTCGCCATAAAATAAATTGACCAAGTTTCACTTCTTTTCGAGTGCAATTGCTGAAACTTTAGGAGCGTTCGGTATTTACTTTTAACTGTACAATTATAACCTTCCACATCTCATTTTTCTCTTTAGCTTCCACTCTCACTTTTCTAGATAAATACCATGTCGAACAACTTGATACTAAGCTTGAACCAAAATTTGATATGTAATACAGTAGATTAAAAGAAAATGCATTTGCTAGCATTCAGGAGATTAAAAGCAAACCGCAATGATAGGATCCAAGTGTTTTTCATCCTCAATCACAAGAAAAAGCACTCTGGTCCATCGTCTTGCTTCAGATCCCCATGCAGCCAAGTCATCGTCATCATATGTAAAAAGAGAATCTACTGGAAGATGACAACTGACAAAACTTTTATGGAATCCACCTATACACTTCAAAAGCTCCGCTTCATCACACTTCAACAGCCATTTTTTAACTTTAGATCTCAATGAACCTAGGGACAAGAGCAAACAAATAAACTAGTTATAAAGCAACAGAAAAGGAGAAGGAGAAGAACCAGAAGAAGAACTAGATTCTAAAAATGAGAATTACAAAATTGAAGATAGGATGCTGTATGCATAAGAGTATGAGACCTACCACCATAATCAGTATATTCCCGAGGCAGGCTAGAAATGAAGTGAAAAAGCATCTCAAGAGGTATATCAAGGGAAGACATCACTGAATCAGCCGCAGCTAGTATCTTTTCACAGACTAAAAGCCATAATGAAGGTTAATATCTATGTGGCATATATATATATAATTCACTATAACTGCCTATGAAAGTAATTTGGAACCTTGATGCCGGTAATTATGATTGAAATGTTGTTTGCAGCACTCAAGAATAAAACGCAAAGCATCCAATAAGTCCGCCTTATCATAGTGCGAAGAGTTTTCTAGTCCAGATTTTACACGGATCTTGTCAGGATAAGCGTCAAAACAAAGCTCAGCTTCATGATCGTTATGTTTCAGAAATCCACAGGCAGCCGAAGCAATGCACTCAGCAAGGCACATCAGTCCAGTTCGTCCAAAAGAATAATTTTTGGAAACAGATGACAGATTGACCAAGAATGCAATATGCTTCCTGCAATTAAACGAGGATTCAAATAGCAGAAATGCTTCTTTTCGGTGTTCAAGTCTTAAACACATAATTTGTTAAATACAGACCTGCCAATTAAATGAATCGTGATTTTATTTCTCAAAGATGAAAACAGCAGAAGGTAGGAAATAATTGGCAGGGACCAATATTTTTTGGCAAGTCGAGTAGATTTCTGATAGTGAACAATTCAGTCAGGGGACATGGTATTTTTATACAATAATGTTATAGTAAGAAGTGCCAGAGAAGACCCCTATTTCCAAGTTACCACTTTTTCTTTAATGCTACCTTGTGATATGTGCGAAGAGCAAAATGAGTTTTTACTCAGAAGAGATGGTCAAGAGTCCATATTTCTTTCTTAAGCTATTGGTCAAAAAGAAGTGAAAATTGTGTGCTCTGAAAGCAAAGGTGCACCTGAGGCCAAGGTTTTGTGCATGCAATAAAGAATCTCTTCTTGCAAAACAAGATGGTTTCAAGAACCTTTTGCCAGAATACTATGGGGTTTTATTCATAAAATCAATTGCATGTTCATCTATCAGTCAAAATCATTTCTCATGGTTTTAAAAGCAGATAATTGCCATAGTAAATTTGAATTTGGATGAACAGGAATAAGACAAAAAATTCCATCTCCAGAATTGCCTACCGATACAATCTCTCATGTTAGCAACAGTTTTCTCACGTGGGTATTAACCCTTGTGGCGTGAGATTTATTGAAGCCTTTATTTTAACAATTGTATCCATCTTCTCTACACCAAACACGATAAGATCGTCTTCCTATCTTTAAATCCCTCTATCACCCTCACCCTCAGAGAAGTAGACAAGCAGTTCAAAAGAATCCTAGAAGCGTAAATTCATCACGCAAAGATTAGTCTAAAAAATTGGATGATGCATTGTGAGCATACAGAAAAACTTTCAAAATTCCTATTGGGATGTCTCACCACTGAATTTTGATATGAAAGTAGCTTGTGAAATGAAAGTGTACTTTATTCCTAATAATTTGGGATTGGCTAAGTCAGCACTTTGTTCAATTTGCACCTTAAATCTCCAGAAGTCAAAGTATTCTATAACACAAAGCAGTCAAGAATGTTATGGCATACCTCCCATCCATATAGCTGGTGTATTGGGATAGAAATTTGGCTGCCGCTTCTATTGCCCACGAGGAATAGACTCCTTTGACACCTGTAATATAAAAACATTCAAAATGTATGCCCAAACAAGCATTACTAGAATAAAGAGTGGGATATCTAATGGCTAGGACTACCAATAAAAATCCATTTTTTTACTAGGCTTGTAACTTTATTTCAGTGAGTCAAAGTTTCATCAAGTGAAATTAACAAACCAAAATCTTTGTGGTGCACAGGATCATTCAACCCTTTAATAAATGGACCGAGTATGAAATCTTCAGGCACTGAATTTATAGAGCTTCCGTAGTCGCTCCACTCAAGAGCCAAGAATGACTGCATGATGATACACCTTACTGCATAACACAATAAAGTAAAAATCATGCTACAAGAAGAAGAATGAGAATAATCTATCAGAATTTTTGGCTAAGCTTAAAAATAAGCAAAAGATACCTTTAACCTTAAGTATTGTTACTCAACACCTTTGGGTAAGTTACTTATTTTGAAAGTAACTCCCATGTTACTCTCAAAGTAAGCAATTTTGAACAATAAAAAAAATAATTTATTCTAAATCAATCTTATTATGCAATCTTTTTTGCTTAGCCAATCTTGCTCTATGCCAATGCATATACAAGACACACAATGTGATTTAGGATATAAGTAACGGTTTCGCTACTGATACATCAAGGTGTACATCGGCGTGTACATCACCCTCACATGGGGGTGGGATCCGTTTGAATAAAAAAATATTTTATACAAGTGGATCTCATCCCCATGTGAGTGTGATGTACACCTTGATGTACAATTCTTGATGTACAAGTAGCATTTTTGTATAAGTAATGTCACTTCGTTTACAGAATAGATTTCCTGCACCTTGAGGGTTATCGTGACAGAAGCCACGTTCCAACAAGACTGCTAACCACTCACAAATTTCCTTGACAGTCTCCATCTGATTTAGATGGATCCCTCCATTACAAGAAATTATTGTATTGCCCAATGAAAATGGAGGACTGAGCAATAGGGTAATCTGCCAAAAAAGAAAAGTATTTGAAAATAAAAATATCTTCATTTCAATAATACTAGTTTTCTAGACCTGGCAATAACAAAAATTAAATTAGACATTAGACTGTGAGGAAATATTCCAGTAGAACATAGAGAAGAGATTTTGGATAAATTAATTTGAGGTCGCCTAGCACATTAAAAAGTGGAATAAATGCAACTCTACAATGAAATTATGGCCATCATATGACAGGGTCAAGTGAAATGAACACCCGATGTAGGGGGTGGGCAAAAGTACCAGACTGAACCGGCCGGTTCGGTCTAGTCCTATCATCTTCCAACCAGTTATGGGCAGTAAAACCAAAATCTCAGTTCTAATACCCAGAAGCAAAAAACCGATCTAAATTGATTACTTTATATATAATTATATATAGTGGCTGGATTAAAGTTCAGTACTACAATTGGAAATTGGAATTTTAAATCTTTAATCTAGTAGTTGATAGAAAATGTTTTTTCATTTTTTAATACATTCATGCTTATAGTGGATGAACAACATCAGTTAGTTGGGTACCCATGGTCTTCAATATGTGTAGTGATCAGATGCTTTAATTCATTTGAGATAGGTTTTTTTCTTCGTCCTTGGCAAGTGGAACGAGAATGTTTTCTTACCTTATGATTCTTTTTACGTTTAAGTTTTTACGTAAGTGTGGAAAATTACGAGTACATTGAGCAAAGAAAGATCCTTTCCTGTTCTTCTACCATATTCTTTGTTTTTTTGTTACTTTTTAAGCTCCTATCAAAATTTAGCAATAGAAGAAGTTGTTTTAGCAGCTCAATCTAGAAATTCCTACTATCCCTTCTCATTTACTATGTTCAACAATTATAGCTTGCATGAAGGAGTTCTGATGTAAATTGTAGCAATTAGTTCAACTTGAGAACAGAAAATGATTTGCATTAACATAAACCGTTTTAATGAAGAGATTATCGAGAATTTATATACTTACTAAAATATTACAGTTTAAGGATTTTTACAGTTAAACACCATTTGCATTGGTTAGTGAATTTTTAGAAATTTCAATGAAAGAACCAAACCAGACCAAACTGGTTGCTTCATTTCCAGTTCAGTTCCATAATTAGAGATGGAACCAATAGTTCCACTTATAAGATACCATCGGTAATCGGTTCGATTCAGTTCGGTTCTCTTGGAATAAGATCAAACCGAACCGTGCCCACCCCTAAACAGAAGTAACTTGAAGGGATGACTAGATGTGTGTCTTCATGAAGAAATTATCCAGCTGCAAATAGCTGGAATAAGAAATTATTGGCTTCAGTTGTATGGAAACAGCTAGTTAATAAGCATCCTCAAATTTAGGTGTAAAGCACATAATTCTGGGATGCCCATAAAATATACATGAAATAGGATATCAATCAAAAGCACTTCACGCATCCCGAGCATCCACTCCAGAAGCATCATTTTGCACAAGTCTGATGAAAATTTTCAAATGATCTCTTATACGTACAATTATCAGAATCTGTTTAAACTAGAAGGAATTATAATGCTAGTTGCTTTTATATGTTTATATTCAAGAGAAATGAAGGAACAATTCCCTAGTTACGAATTCATTAACTACATGTGTATGCCAATGACAGCAAACCTGGTGATTCCATGCTGCTTCAACTAAATGAGTACCATATTCTTCAAGCATTTGATAGAGAAAAACAAATGCCTCCCACCTCTGCCAACCTGTGAAACTGGATTCAGTGGAATTGCATATTCTTCCGACACCCAATGACTTGGCTTCCTTGTCAGCCCACCTTCCCCTTTTGCTCATGCTGTGAGAAACTGAACTTCTATCATCTGATACTTTTTCTGGAACACCAGAGTAGTTTTGTCCTTGACCGCTCAAGTTCAATGTTGTTTTCAAGATATACAATGACTGCTTCCTCACTAAACTCTCCTTATCGAGCTTTTAGAAAATCAAACACGGTGAGTAAAAATAATGAAAAACAATATAGAATGAATTATGCTTGATAATAAAATTAAAGCACAATAAGCAAATAAATTTTTTTACCAAGCCTCTTTTTACTTCAACCCAAAATTCCCAATTATCTCTCAAATCAAATGTTTCTTCTCTGTCATCCCCATTGACATCTTCGTGTCCATCAGTCAAAGAAGAAAAAGATAAATATAGAGAAAGTATATCATATGCATCGCGTCTCTCCAACGGCCCCAAAGAAAACAGTACCTTGCAGCATTTCCAGACTTTAACAAAAAGATGCTCCCTGTAAAACCAAAAAAAAAAACAGCTTAGAAAACTGAGTGTTGAAATATACCTAGATAGTTACTGAGTAGCATTAGGTCAAGGTGGTTCTGTTAAATCAAGCAATGGCGTCATACCTGGTTAGTGTGTGATTTTTCCCATGAAATGATACTTCAAAAGCACGATTATATTCAAATGCTTTAAATATAAATGGTAGGAGAAATCTAATTGCGGAAGACCGATGCTCCGTACGTTGTGAAAGCATTTGAAGTGTCATATTAGAAAGGTCAGAAAGCATATTTCCAGCAAGTATTTTTTCGCGGGACCCATTTGCCAAAATTTCAACAGATTCACTTCCGGATGTATGTTTGCTTTGTAGAGCAGCATTTAATAATAAGGATAAAATATGACAAGATACAGGCAATGGGAAATTGTAAGACTGAGATACTATGGAATCATTATTCAGGTTCACATCAGTCAGCTTGTCATGGGAAGAATGGAAGGGCTCTGGTGTATTTAGTTGGGTATAAAAACCTTGAACAATTGAGCTTGAACTCCAGTCATAAATTGCGAATTCATCACTCTGAAGCATTCCCATTGACAGACCGATTGATCTTAACAGAAGAGGCACCATGATTGCTTCAACAACGTCCCAACTGCTTGTGTCAGTTACAACATCAAGGAACAAACTTGCAGCCTAAACTTAAAAACACGATGGAAAGAAAACAATGAGTTAAGAGGTAATTGATTGCCCCATAAGAGCTCACACAAAAGGAAATCTGTAGCATAATAGATGCATGTCATGAAACCCAAATACTTCAATATACCTCATCAAGTATTTCTCGATCATATGCATGTATTAACTCCATCAACGGAATTAAAATTCTCCATATAAACAATTGCACAGAATTGTTATTCGATCCTGCATGAAAAAATAAGTGAATAACCAACCAAGCAGCAACATTAAGCCCTTATATTTATTTTTAACTTACATACCACAAAAATAATTGTGCTTCATTCAGAAAAGAGATGCATATTTGGAAACCATCTCATTAGTAAATGTCTTGAGATTCTGAGAAATAAGTCCTACTACAGAACCAAGTAATATAAATATCTACAAGGTAACTATATTTACCACACTAACTACAACCCTCGAGTAATCTTGAATGAAGAAATTTGAACAAGATGAAACAATTCTGGAATGGTACAAAGATAAAAATGAAATAGAATAAAGATGACATTTTACATTATTAGTGTACAACATACTAGGGCAATAACCAAATATCAATTCTCAAGTTGGTTCCAGTCTCATGACTGGTAGTGGTACTAGAACACAAATTTGGAAAGAAAATTTGTTTTCTTCCCCACTCCCTTTTGTCCCACTCTTATGGTGTTCTCCAAGAATCTCAATCCATCCCTGTCTCAGCACTCTCAATCGCTCTCCTATACAATGTTTAAAAATGTTTAATCTGATAACAAGGCATTTTTTAACATTTGTGATGCGAGGGCAAAGCCTTGAGGTGTGTTGAGGCTTACGCCTGATAACAAACAATAAGGTATATTAAAAGAATATGCTCGTAATAAACAATAATTTATCCAGAAAATCCACAATAAAACAATCTAACAAAAATAATAAATATAACCAGCAATCAAACATAAAACAGAGCAGTAAAATAGCAAACAGTTTTCATTAAAATACTAATCACATAACAAAATTTTGACTTGCTAATAGAACTAAAAGAAGCCACAAGTTTTTCGATTACTACTACTAATAGGACGTCAAAGAAAATGGACAGTACATTTTATTCTCTAATAATCCTCCCAGGCACTATCAATTTTATCCTCTTCTTTTCCCTCATCCTCCACTTACCATGGTGCCATCCGTTGGCAAATATAGAAAATAAAAAACAGAGGGAAGAAGAAGAAAAACAAGTGGAAAAAAGGGAGTAAAGTTTTGTGTGTATGTGTCTTGCCAACAATCACATGGTGCTGAAAAGTTGCTTCTTCACTTAACAGGGGTTTATAGCTTTTCTGTTGTAGGAAGCTAGGGAAAGCTTGCTTTACTTGCTCTCTTCTCTTCTCTCCGATTCTTTTCTCCTAAATTTTAGTGTTGGTTTGTGTTTAAAATATCCCAAAGTATTCTTAAAACATACTAGGCATAAAACACTAGCCCTAAAGGCTGAGGTCTATAATATATACTGGAAAGCACAGGGCAAACAAGTGCACACCTCATCCATCACGAGGCCTGTGTCTTGAGGAATGCACTTAAAGAAAATCTGGCAAGCCTCGGATTTTTTTAATACAATGCTTCTAATCACCACCTTTTCATAGGTGGAAATAGCTTTTGGGCAGCTTTGAGGAAGTTTTTGAGGTGTCAGTAAGGTGTGAGGGAGGCTGCAATGGGTGGAATTTGTAGTGAGAGAGGCTGAAATGTTTGAAAATAAGGAAGTGGGATGTTGCAAAATGTGACAGATGGAACTGGAATATAAAGATTGTGGAGGGTAAGCGGAAGTTGGAGTTACTTGTTCTAGAGTTGATGTGAAGAATGCCAACTAATTGGTCCAGTCTAAACATTTACATTATTGCGTTTCATGTAAACACGTGTTTTCTTGAAAAGAGCACTAGTATTGTGGTGCGAAAATCAACCCGAAATATAATCAGGAAGCTGCCATATAGGGATGTTTACATGATGTGTCACTTCCAAGTTAAATTGGAGGTTCTCATACATCCAATTTTCAGGTAAAATCAGCATAGATGAAAGCATTTGCTTTGTAAGTAAATTTAGAGAGAGAGAGGTCGAATAATAGGAAAATCGAAATCGACAAGATGTAGAAGTTGACAGGATAAACTCACCAAACTTTTTAAGAAGGTGACAGAGAGCAGCCACATATGACCCTATATGGTTAGTCTGCTCAGAATTCAACTTTTTAGTTCCCTCGGTAATTTCCTACCAACAAAGAAATCCAACGATAAATATTACTCGAAAGACGGTCAACGCTTGTTCACTCAGAACTACGTCAAAAAATATTTGGCACTTCCAAATAACTGAACTATTTGTAAATAGATTTATCTACGGTCTCTTTATCTAGAAATACTCAAGAATAGAACAACAACGTTTCGGGCAGTTGATACTTGACAATACGTTACCATATAATCCACAGCAATCAAACAGAAATGGAATGAAACGAGAAAATGTTTGATGCTGATGTATTATTTTTTTCTTCCCCTAGAAAGAAATAATGGATTGTTGAAAGAACTACTGGTACCTTGGTGAGATTAGGAAATTCATTGAGAAGAGAAGAGAAAAGTGAAGATGGAGATGAGCCAGTCGAAGCCAGTATACAGTCTAGCGTTGTCGGGACGGCCGCCGGAGGAAGCCGCCGGAAACTGCTCCAGAGGGAAGTGGCTATGGGTTCCATGGAATTTCACAGAAGAGCGAAGGGAAAAATAGAAAAGGGGTTCTTGGCGGGTTTTAACATCTTACGACTTAAACCCTACGGCCAGATGCGGATTTTCATTTTCTTTTTTTTTTNTAATTACCCATCTCCAATTCATGAACTTAATTGATGGAATGCAACCTTTAATTTCATCTGTTAATATGTTATCTTACAATGTAACCATAGAGTTGGATTCCAGAACCAAAATTTCCAAATTTTTGCAGTATAAATTTTGTCACGGTTTATTCTCGCGTCGAAATCCTTGTCAATTCATTTTCAATATGCTAAAAAACATTTGCAAACAGCTCCCAAGAGAGAAACGAACGAACGCAAAATCAGGCTTGAAGTCTTGATCATGTCAAATCAGTCTTCCATTCGGCATCAACAACAATAGCATTGGACTAACCTGGACATGTACTTAGTGTGCCAATTCATGGTTTATTGGTGGCCAAACCGTGTTCTCTCTCTCTCTCTCTCTCTCTCTTTTTTTCTTTTCAAGAAAGAATATTGTTAGGTAGAGATTAGCGAATGATATGTTTGATATGCCAACTTTTTCTTCGAACTTGAAAAATCAATTCCTTTTTCTTGCTTTTGGATTGTTTGATGAGCCAAATTTTCCACCTAAAATGTTTTGGTCACGCATCCAAATTCCATGAAAATAGGGAATTCATTTTCCCCCCTTTTTGGTGGGAATTCTATGGGCTGCTGTCCATTTTATTTTTGTTTATTTTTTATTTTGACAATGGAAACAAATGTCATAATCAAGGGCAAAATTTTTTTTTACTTTAATTGACAATTTCCATGTAAAACAAAGTCAAACGAACACTAAATTTTGATTAAAAAATGATTTTTTAGGAAACAATTTTTTTTTTCCTTTTTTTTCTTACTTTTTGGCAATGGGAACAAAATTTTATAACCAATTGTGGAAAAAATTATCACTTTAATAGATACTTTCCATGTAAAACAAAATCAAACAAATATAAAATTTAAAAATTTTTCGGGTGGAAAATTATACCAATCATACACACTTGAAATTATTTTCCCTGCAAAACATTTTCTAGACAATTATTTTCCCTGAAATTCATTTTCTTTCCACCCATTTTTCACCATTGTAATCAAACAGACCATAATATTCAATTGATCAAACAAATACAAAGTGAGTTCCAAATTAATGATAATAACGAAATTAATACTATGAATTAAAGATAAACACTTTCTTTTCAATTATCACAAAGATTGGCTCAAAAAATTGATTGAATGGAGCTCAAATTAATAACCCAACAGCACACAGAATTGCTCCATAAAATGGAACCAAGAATCGCACTTAAAACCACAGAAGAAACCACCCACAAATCATGCAGAAAGGCTACGAATAAGCCAATTGGAACAACAGTAAAGCTGGGAAAGATTGACGAAATAGGGGCAAGTCCGGCAGCCCAGGCACCGACCAAGATGTTGACAGAGATGATGTGAAGATCGCATTAAGGGACCGTACAAAGGAGGCGGCAAGATCACAAAGAGGAAGCAATCGAAAGTCTCACAAAAAAAGGAGCTATTGGATGAAATTGTGTGTATATATGATAATAGGGCAAAGGACACATATATATACAATACACTTTAGCTCAGGTATATGGGTTGGGCCCTAAATGCAATACTCGATCCAACTTCTTTCATAGGTTATCAATTGTGTGTTACTAGGTCGACTATTTTAAATAGTCTCAATAATAGATTCCAAATGAACCATATGATTTTAATCCGATCCAACGAATCATAATCGCCCTTATTTATTTGGTATCAAAATACCTAATCAACCTCCACCCTGATGCCAAACACACATGCAAAAGAGAAATAACTAGTTTAGCAGTTGCACAACGTGATTTCGAATAAAATCGAAATATTACACACCTTTACTTTACTGGGGGAACACATTAGTGCCCATATATGCAAGGTTATAATCTGAATGCACTTCTTAAGTTTTATCAAATCTTGTAACACTATATCTCTAATAAAATACAGCCAGCATCAATATATTTAGTGCATTCACGAAACATGGGATTTTTACTTAGTTGAATAACAGATTGACTATATTAGAGTATACTATCACGTTATCACTTAAAACACCCCCGTTCATTAAGTAAACCTCTAGATCGCAAAATTTCTTTAATAGCTTCAGTGACAGTAATATACTCAAATTCAGTGATAGATAAAGCTACTACATGTTGAAGTTGAGATTTCTATCTCACACAAGAGTCACTCAAAGTAAACACGTAAGAGAAAGTAGATTTCATACTATAATACCCCAATCCTTTTTTTTTATCATAAAAACAAAGATATGTCTATATCTGCCCAAATTATTTTATTAGTCCAAGTTTACTTGAAATGTGAACTTTCCCTTTGTCAATTGTTAACTTTTTATTTTTATTTATACAGATAGACATAGAAGGACGGACGGACGGACGGATGGATATTTGTATAGGTATAAGTACAAATTTGTTAATATTTTAACATGTTTCTCTCTTTGAGTTTCTCTTTCTTCCACTAAAATTAACTACCTCTAAAAAACCTCTACGTAGTGATGTAGTCCATTACAATTACAATTAATAATTTCACTTTATCTAGAAGTTTGTCTTTTTAAATTATTTTTTCTAATTTCATTATCTAGTTGTAATAGATTTATTCTTAAATCTTATTTAGATTAGGATTAGTTTTTTTCTTTTACAATTTAGTTTCCTTATTTTTGTTCATTTTATTAATAGGATTAGAGAATAATTTTGCCTATAAATATTGGAGTGTTGTAAACTTTTCAAAATCATCAATCATATATCAACACAAAACAAGATTATTCCAATATAANGAATAATAACTTCACATAACATGAAAAATGCTGAAATGTGTTCATTAGGGTTTTCCGTGAATTTTTCGAAAAACCTGATGTCTTGATGATTTTGGAATAGATTTATGACATTTGGTCTGAGGTACAAGTTAGGCTATCTGAATGGAGGATAAATCACGGTGGGTTGCACTGGAGCAAGAATTAGATTGACATAATCCCCAACTAAAACGGGAGCTTCATTTTGGATGGCTCTCTGTTGATTTGGCTGCGGTAGTTGATTATGGACTGAAACATGAGCTTGATTTTGTTGTTGATTCTGATTATCAGCCATTCTCCTTGCTTGACGTTGTCCTCTTCTGTGATTTCTGAATGTCTTTTCAATTTCGTGATCCATTGGAACTAGATCAACCTCATCAGGAACTTGCATAAACCAAGTCTGCCTGAAAAGAGTTAAGTCAACAGAGAATGAAGCAATGTAAAACCAACCTACAACAACAAGACTGACATTAACAATGAATCTAGAATATCAATAACTAAAATAAACACCGTTTTCCCCAGCAACGGTGCCAAAAACGTGTTGCAAAATATTCCCGCAAGTGTACTGGTTCGTTGTACAAGTAATAATTATGATGAACGAGTTATCGTCCCACAAGGAAAAAAGGCTCAATTTTAGTGTATCTGATATATCTAAATTCCCAACAATAATAAAATTGTTGATTTGTATTTAACTACGTTCTATAATTACGAAAGCAATAAAAGAAAGAAAATGGTTTTTAAATCAAATATGGATGAATGTATTGGATTTTCGATTTCACTAATTGATTCTAGAATTCAATTCTCATCTTGTTCAATCCTTGTAATCGTGACGATCGATAATTCCACTGTTATTTACTATTCTCTTCCAAGATATAATAAACCTATGTTGGCCACGACACGATCCTATTCCTAGTCCGCATTCATATGACAAACATGCATTGAAATTTAGGAGTATCACACATGATCGCACACTTCATAAATATTATTTCTAATATTTATTTTTCATGTGTTTCACATACAGTATTCTACCTATTGCGAGTTTTTTCAACACCTAACAAACAAAATATATACAAAATTAAACCTTCATTCATTTAAAATAACAATAATTACTCTAATTTAACACTTCCGTACCAAAATTGATATCAGAGCAAGGAATTCACATCGATCTGATGTCTGAGGACGGTTCGAGTGGTAGATAAACCACCGACAACAAACGGAGGTTTGAAAAAATTGAACAACGACTAGAAGGGATGGATGAAGCTCTTCGCAATATCACGCAGATGCTAACTGCGATAACTATTGAGAAGCATCATGGACCATGGCAGAACAGACGAACAAGCAGAAAAATGTACAAGGAGATATCAACTCAGATTCCGACTACGAAGAATAAGATGCTAACCTGAATGTAAGAAATCATGGGTTCCAGCAAGGAGGGAGACACACCATATACCCCAGCCCCATGTTGACACAGGTGTGGGGGACGTCGGCCCTTTGCAGATGATCGACTCTGGCAACAGAACCCAGAAATCCATGATCGAGCCACTGGGGCACGAGCCCGGTCACGAATTGAGATCCTCGTGAGGCTGCCCCTCTACGATTCTACTAGCGAAGAAACAGACGAGATGAAGGCGACCTCCGGTGAGGGGTTCCAATCGACGGCAACGACGAGCTCCGTGATTGACCGCGAGCTCCGATGAGAAATCGTAAACGAGAGGCAGATACACGATTTGATTTCAGGGAATGAGTTGATTTTGACAGTCGGTTTAATTTTGACTGAAGATAGAGGGTGGACAGAGGAATCAATTTTCACCCACACAATTTTGACCGATATTATAATGTTGA